ACAAGTTAAAAGTAATTTTCATAATATTTAAGGTTTAATTTTTAATGGGGGAAGCGATGAATTCTTATATATATATTTGTAATAATAATATCAATGTTTTCCTTAACTGGTATATTTAACAGTCCCCCTCCCAGGGTCGTATATGGCACAAGACCGAGTTTATCATGGGTTCTCCGACCCCGTGGGCTCGGCCAAAAATATTCCCTTCGAACCCGTATTCAGGGTCGGTCCACCTCCCTGAACGAGACTCTGCCCTTCGGCATAGCCTCGTCCAGGTTCCTCTCTGCCCGGAGGAAGAGTTAGACCATGACAGCTGAAAAGGTTTCAGCTAGTCAAAGTGATTTTCAAAGCGCGGCTTAGATGGGGCACAAGGCCGAAAGTATGGGGCAGCCGGTGAGGATCGAATTCACTACTCAAATTGATCTAGGAAGACAAGCTTTCTAACCATTACACCACGTTGAGGTGCCACATGTTTTGCTTAACTGGAACGTTAGTGAACACATTTTTAACGTCAAGTGATTCTATGGTTTCATTATTAGGTTGTTCGGTTTTTTAATATTTGTTTAAGTTCAAGGGTTGATTTAATGCTGTATTTGTTAGGTATGTACGGTGTAATTAATTGGTTAAGCGTTTTAGTTTGTTGGTAGACAGGAGGTGGGAATTTGGAATATGATAGGGCGGAGTGGAAAGTTAGGTTTGTGCGTTTTGATAGAACCATAAATGTATCCTGGTTTATAGTCTCCGATTATTTTTGATAAGTTTTAGATTGTCTTGTTCCGCGTTGGTAGCTGTGATTATTTTATTCATTTTCACGTTTAACTGAGTAGTAGAATTATTAAGTTTTCTAAATTTGGTGTGATTGTCAAGTAACTGTTTCATTTCTGAGTTGTAATCAGACTTGTTTAAAACAACAAAAATGGTTGCTTTATCAGCCTTTTTAATTACTATTTCAAGATGCCTACGTAATTCTTTTGTAACAGTCTTTAATGATTTATTTAGGAGTTTAGATTAATTTTTCCTTTTATCATGTGTGTCCTTTATAGATTCAGCCTTAATTAGATCACGGATTTCTGGTTCTGTGGTAATTAGCTGCTATTCTTGGAGTTAAATTATGTTTTGGTACAGTGTAATCTTATTTTTTGTTTATGTAGTCCATTATATTTTGTGCATATATGGCAGTTAGGTCCGAAGTTTAGTAGAGCTTTTTGGTTGTCAGTTAAATCATAGACAAAGATGTTTATGAATCTTTCAAGGTTATATGGGATGAATATAGCTCTTTTATATAATGTATTCAGTTTTCTTTGAATTCTTAACCTATGTTTAAATTCCGACCTGTTAGCCTATTTAGAATTTGTTTAAACTGTTCAGAGGTGGTGGTCCTTTTTAATGTGTTATCTATCTCCTGCTTCCGTTTGTTTTCACAAGGCCACGTTGAAATTGCCTTAAAAGTAGAGATGGCCCACGTGTGCATCTAATAACATGTAGATTTAAAAGCCATCTTAATGAAAAGATCTACTAATGTATATATATATATATATATATATATATATATATATATATAAAGTATGAGGTGCAGTTCAATTTACATTACATGAATCATTCATACAAAAAACAGATATAGAAGTTAATGATTTAAATGGCGAGAATCCATCTTCGCAAACAATTTTAATAAAGTACATTAGCCCCGAACCTGTATATGAATGATATGATCCCTGTTTATAAATTCCAGTTGCATAAGATCTTTTTTAGTTTTTTTACAAGCTTTCTATATACGTATAACTGCAGTTCGAGTATGGATGTTTTAAAACTAATCAGCAGACATTTTCTCACAGACAATCACCATGCCACTCCCTTTTCGTTTCACCAATAGGTATTTCCGCTCGCATTTTTTAATATGAGTGGGGTTAAGGACTACAATGTCCCTCCCACTTGGGATACTGAGGTGGGTGAATAATTTGTATCGCTAGTAGGCAAATTAAATAACATCTCTGGGGCCCCTATATATGCAAATGCCGAGGCGAGCTTGCGTAATGTTTAATCTCTAGTAACCATTCATCTGTTATCCTTCGTACAGGAGGCATCTCAATATGAATAATATGCATGGAGTGGGACTGGAATCATTTTTGACCCTAGATTCCAGTGATTGGTTTTTCATATTGCGTTCCAGTGAGAGTGTGGTTTAATGCAGATATTATCAAACATATATATATATATATATATATATATATATATATCAGTCATACGCATCACCGTACCTTGCTTTGAAATTTGTCTCCTTTTCGCTTCCTCTCTAAAAAAATTACGTAAGAGGTCACTTTGTCTGACCTCTTGACTGAGTAAACTTGAACCTATGTAAATTATTAAAGATGGTTGAAAAACAACCCTATGCCTAATTTCCAATTCCAGTATAGATCATTCTATAGTACTCCCCATCAGACACCCTCTGTCACCTTATATCAATCTAAAACTATACCTCAAAGTTTTGTATTAAAAATAAAAGAAACCAAATTCCATTTGTAACTAGAGATGTGACCTGATGAACCAGGAAAAATATATTTTCCGGGGAATTAAATTATAGTCATGAAACATTAAAGTTGTCTCTTTCTTAATTATTTAATTAATATTTTTGGTCTGGTGATTACATCTATTTGGAAATCGCATGGAAAACCTTTCAAATAAATAAATAATAATGTCTACTTGTTCTCAATATTTATTGTCTTTAAATCGCAGAAAACTGCTTAAATCTTAGTGATTGTTTCATATTGTTTATTTTCAGTAAATGATTATTAATATATATATATATATATATATATATATATATATATATATATATATATCAAATTGTAGGAGAACGAGCAGTAGGATTACAGCGTTCAAAACATTAATTTAAAAATAGTGCTCAATACATAAAGTAGAGCCGTAAATATTTATTTATCTTATGCATTATCACATTAGAACATGCACATATCCACTACAAAATTGTACGTCGTAAAAACGGGGAAAGCTTTTTTATACGTCTCATCAGGTGGAGAATTATGGTGTTACTAAAAAAAATTATTCAGAAATACAGTTGTTGAAGCAAATATCACCCACTTCCGTTCTTTGGAAATTTTCATAAATTTTCCCTTTTTTTTTGACGTTGAAACGAAAATGTACAATTTTGTAGTGGATATGTGCATGTTCTAATGTAACACTGCATAAGATATATATATATATATATATATATATATATATATATGTATTTAAAAAAATTTTAACATAAACATGTGATAAAATCACTACAAAAATAGCCATTTTGTTTCAACAATTCCAGTGTCTTATCATTATCTTATCTTAATTCATTCCGTATACACCAATTATATACTTGTATATATATATATATATATATATATATATATATATATATATATATATAAAAGTGAAATGAGAACAAATAGAATCCAGTTCAAACGTTCGTAGCATTAGTTTAAAAGAGGGCTCAATAAAAAGTAGAACCATATTCTTTATTTTAGGATATTACATCAAAAACATGTAAAAAAAAAAAAAAGCTACACAAATGCAATCATGTTTTGATGTGTATTAACACATCTCATCAGGCGTTAGTAAATAACTGGTTAGTAGACAATTTCTTGAAATTACGATAACATGCAACCTCTTTTCACGAGAAAAGAAAGAAAAGAAAAAGAGTAAGAAACAAGCTATGCTCACATTTCCCGAAAAAAAGAAGAATAAGGAAAAAGACTAAAAAAAAAAAAAAGATCGAGGAGATAGCAGTAACATTTGTTTTCTTTATATTCAGATCCACCAATCAAAATGGCCGAAGCTAAGTTCAATGTAAGGAGAGAAACGGAAGTAAAGCAGCAGTCATAAGTAAGAGGTCAAGACCCACAGATTTAGAATCGTAGACAAACTCTAGACATCATATTCAATACAAATGTAAATTTTCTACAATGTTATCCATTAGACACATGTCATTTCCTATGAGAGTAGAATCGTAATTTAACAAAATACTTGACAAACCACATTACCCTGTGAGTTAAAAATTTCACATTTTTATAAATAAATATGGCTCTTTAAGAAATAAATGGAAAATTTAAACAAATAGATCTAACAAAATTATTAAGAATATATAGGTCTCATAAAAATATTTAAATATATAGATCAAACAAAATTATTCCAACATATAGATCTAATAAAATTATTTCAATATATAGGTCATACAAAATAGAATGCAACTGTTAACTAAAGGGTCTTATATAGGGTGTTAATAAAACCACTAAATGCAAAATGTCTTTCGAACACATATATATCGATACTAAATATTAACAGCAGTACTAGAAGAATAATGTACAAATTATATTACGTTGAAATTGATGTTACTGACAGAAACATAAGCTTTATACGGTGCAACAAGGTTTTTCTAAAATATAAGAAGAAGCAATTATCAAATTTTCAGTCTACCAAGATTGTAGAGTCAAAGGTATGATATGTTTACAGTTAACAGTTCATTCAAATCTTTGATTTAATAAATCATCCATATTCAAGAATCTGTTAATCTGCATTTTCTCCTATAAATACAGAAAACAAGGTACATATAAGGATCTACATGACCTTACCAGTTTTAAAATTTTCCATTTTCCAATCGATGCCATTGTCAAACAAATGTTCAACCGAATCCCTTGTGTATCTTTGTTCTAACTTTACAATAGAAAACCCGAAGGCTGAAAAGTTCTATATTGGTAGTATCAAGAATTCTTTAAAAACCCGGCGGTAGCAGCAAATATCGTCTTTTACTAATAATACTTATAGAAATAATACTTCACTTTCAAAATATTTTTCGAGGTTGAAAGATGAAAATGAACTCCTAAAGTTAAATGGAAAATTTTAAAACTGGCAGGATGTGATTTAAGTTGAAAGTTGTTTTCAAAATCCTGGCTTCTCTCCTAGGTTGAGACTGTTAAGAAATACGCAAATATTTCAGCCATATTACTCCCATATACGTAGAAATATGAGCAAGCACACAATCAGATAGATAGATAGATAGATAGATACATAGATAGATAGATAGATAGACAGATAGATAGATAGATAGGAACAGACTGGGATAGGATAGATAGAGAGAGAGAGAGAGAGAGAGAGAGAGAGAGAGACTGAGATAGATAGATAGGGAACAGACTGGGATAGAAAGAGAGAGAGAGGGGGGGAACCATACTGAGATAGATAGATAGATAGGAACAGACCGGGATAGATAGATAGATAGATAGGAACAGACCGAGATAGATAAATAGATTGAGAGAGAGAAAGAGAGAGAGAGAGAGAGCGAGAGAGAACCAGACTGAGATAGATAGATAGATAGATAGATGTTCGCTATTTCTGTTTTCTTTTTCACCGCTTTTGCTTTTGTGATCTTGTTATTACCACGTGACTTAACGATAATTCTGAATCTTGAGGACTCACATCATCAACAACAACAAAAACAACAATGTATTTGTGAATTAATCCCTCCTCCACCCCAAATAGCAGGAAACAAAAGACGCGAGATTTTTCAAGATTTGTTCAATTTAGGGCCATTATCTCAAATGGAATGTTTGTATGTGTTCGGGTGTATGTTTGTTTGCATACATAAATATAAGATAACGATATAGAAATTTGTAGATATCAACAACAATTTTTGAGGAATTCATCAGACTAGATCTGTTGCGCTGGCGCGACTTACACATGCGCACGAACGAGGAATGCTGTAAATTTTAACGTAACGAGACTGAGCACTCTTTTGAAAACATATCTACTCTGATCAAAGGAGAAAACAATTCACTGAGACGAAAATGTCCGTCGAGTGTCTTGACCGCGAAGTCATCTACCGTAAATTTGCGTCCTGGCTCTTACAACATTTCACCATTCCTGGCAGATCTTCTATTATCAAAGTGGGATATCTAATTACAAAAGTAATGGAAACAAAAAGAAAATGAATCTAAATGAAATCGGCTTTATATATATATATAAAGCCGATTTCTAGATATTCTCAGTTTTGTATCCGAAACATAAACAAAGCAATTTCTGATGAATTAATGTATTTATTTTTAATCCTATATTTTTTTTTATGTCAATCATTATTTTATTTTTTTATTGGAGACTCGTACTTGAAAATGACGATCCTTTTCCCTGCGGCCGTGCTGTCTAAGTCACTTTTCAATGATCCCGGATTTGCCACCTTTGACGTTTCTTGGGGAAATGTTTCACGCAAGATTGTTCCCTTCTATGGATCGTTTTCTTCGTCATAGATTCATTTCCCGTAATCTGACAAGCTTTCTGTCTCCACAATGACCTTCTCAAACCACATTCCTTTTAGCATCCACTTCTGGATATTCTTTAAATAGTGATACAAGGACTTATATTCTGATCTTGTACACAATTCTGCTCCTATTGAACTTTTCAGCCTTCTTTTCAGAGTAGGTAAAACTTAGCCACATTAATACTAGAGTTTAAGCACCTGGTCATTATCTTCCTTGTCTTTCAGTCCAGGTTTGCCAGGTCCTCTTTTGTCCATTCGAAAATGCCGGCACCATAACTTACAACACCAGTTGCCTAAGCATTGATTACTGAAACAAATTTTCTATCATTCAGCTTGAATCTGCAAAGTTTCTTTTCACGCCAAATAAACTCTTCTCGTATCTGTGATTTCCTTCCATCATTGAGAGTTTTGTCCATCTGTTGAACTTCCACGTATTTTTAATTTCTTTTTTTCTCATCAGCGGTGTTACTGCATAACAACGCCGATTATCAAGCCGCAGATGCGGTGTAGCAAACGGGATAGGGTATGAAATTCTGCTACAGGTTGCATACTTCCCACGATAATACCTTTCAAGCAGACACCTGTTTCGAATCATGTCTTGCCAGCAACTCCAAGACATCGCAAAATTACTCGAAGAATTTGCCGGATTGAAATTGGAATCATTCTTTTATGATACATATTTTAGCAAAAAGAGAATAAAAATCAAAAAAAAAAAAAAAAAAGAATATAAATGATCTCTTTCTCTCATCTCTCTCTCTCTTTATATATATATATATATATATATATATATATAAAAGTGAACATTGAAGTCAACACTCAGAGGCGACAGACTGTTTCATGCTAGGCGCAATCGTCAGGCCGCCTAAGTTAGACGTATTATGTCTATTTATTTTAGTATTAATCCGTTCAATTTTACGAATTAATTTCTTGGTGGCTGTAGAAAATTGATCAAGAAAAATATCTAAATTTTCTTGAAAATAATTTTTATTTTCCCAATTACTTCCAATCTCATTTGAGACCATCTTCAAAGGGTTAAATTATCTGTGAATGTGTATACAGTAGCTCTTTAAATTCCAAATATTTTTTCACAGTTCTTAAATGTTTGTGGCAGAAAAGTTTTATAAGTAATACGTATCAGATGTTATAAAAACAAGAGAAATGAGGATACTAGTTTAAGTAATTGTTTGAATAAAGACGATGTCTCATTTGGAAGGTTAGCCTTACCTACGTATTTCAGATGGCAAATAATACAAGTACAGACAACCTAACGATCTGGGAAGTATTTTAATTTTTCCGTTTATATATCCTGTCTCTTGAGCGATCGTGAATCTGTAGAACTTCATTGAACAATTTTCATATTCGACCTTCCATTTACGGAAGTTTATTAGTTACTTGCCTACCCGTGACCCGTTGAATCACTGACGGTTCAGGTTCTAAAACACTGAAGTTCATTTCAACATTTCATTGAAATGCAAGTTAATTTTATTATGATTCAGTTAAATATTTCAATTCGTTCATGTCATCATTGACCTGGTTTTCAAGTTCATGTTTAACCCTTTACTGATTGTTTAGAGCATTTAATAAGACTAGAACTTCCGGGATAACCTTGAACTTTAAATCAGATTAAATTAAAAATATTTTTTTAATATGCAACAAAATAGTTTTAAATCTTTTTCACTTGAAAATATATTGTAAATATGTCAAAAATATATTTTTTTTAAATATTTAAAATATTGTTTGTTTAAAGAAAGTTGAAATATAAATAATTGCTCTACAAACAACTCGACGAAACAGCAAAGCGGGATTTCTTTGTGTCTAACTTTAACTGAAAAATATTTTAATTAAAAAATTGTCTGTTAGAAGAAAGTTAAAATAAAAATACTTACCGTATAAACAACTCATATTTTTTAAATCTTATTCAATTGAAATATTTTTTTTTTTAAATTAAAAAAATATTTTTTTAAATATTTAAAGAATTGTTTGTTTAAAGAAAATTGAAAAATAAATACTTACAAACAACTGGACGTAACAGCAAAGCGGGACCTCTTTATGTATGTCTTTAACTTTAAAATATTTTAATTAAAAAATCTTCTGTGTAAAATAAAAATATTTGTAAATCATTATACGCCGAACGGACGAACGGACGGACGGATGCACGACACAAGCACACAAGCAGGCAATCACAGGCTTTTAGTATTTTATAGATATTAATCGTTGTTTCCGTGTGCCACACTTGCCTTCAAAACGACCTCTGAGTGTCAAATTCTCCAAGTCCTTTTTCCTCATTATGCACTCCTGTAATTTCAGCTGTTGCTTTCTGATCCGAATGAAAAGACTTCTTTTTATTTCAATTTTCTTTAAATTTTCAGTTTTGCTCACATATCACGACCATGATTATCTCATTTTTTTTTCTTTGTAAAACTGCAGAAATAGCGAAACATGCCTTCCAAAAGCTAAGCAAAGTATTAAGAAACAGGATAATTTTCGTTAGAAACAAAGAAAATTGTACTGAAATGCTATCTATTATCAATGCTCTGATATAGCAGTGAATGCTGGACACAGATGAAAGCGAGACTTAAGCAACGGAGATGAGATCCTGCAGAATCCAATGGAGGGATCATGTGAGCAAAGGGGGGATTTTAAGAAGAATGGAAATTAAAAATGGAGGCATAGTTACCATAAGAAAGAAAGTTGAAATTTCTACAGCATATAATGAGGATAGAGGGCTTGGATAATCTGATATTCCCAAGGCATACAAGAAGGTCTAAAAGAAACAGTGAGTAACATTTTTGAAGAATTTGTGTAAATGAATAGCAGAAGACAGAGTGGGAGTTATAGTAAAGAGACAAAGATTGGTAAGAGCTACGGACGATAAACAGGAAAAAGCCTTGACCACTGACATATTGCAGTGATATGCTACTTAAAAGAAGAGCTGCAGACAATGCTTGGAAGGCCGGAGAGTGTAGAGGCTGAGATGTGATAAAGGCAATAACAATAGAGATATTTCTTTGAGTAATTCGTGGAGGACGTTAATTCAATCTTGTGGTTTGTCAGGAGCTGACAGAACCTGACATATTTTCAATTTACATATACATATCACTTATTTCCATGGTTTCGAACTCTTTCAGATATGGTATAAACTAACAGATATTTTTTTCAAAACAATGATTAAACATAGCTTCGTATGAATGAAGACAATTCTTCATTAGATTTTATAGACTGGCGCTAAAAAATTATTTCTTCAAATTACAAAAAGATCACTTGACGACTTCCAGTAGCGGCAACAATTAAAATGGATAGCACGTGTAATTAAAAGGAAATAGAGAAGATTTTTGTTTTCCACACTATTACAAACATGTGGTTAGGAAGGAAACTCCCATCAAAGAGTATAAAGAGCGATAAGAGTAAGTGGTCTCGAGAAGTCTAGTTTTCTGAAAATCTGTTTTAGGAGAAAGATTTTATCAATTTCCACCGACAGTAACACTAAATCAATGAACGCCAAATGTTGCCTGTATGGAAACGGCCAATCTCATCAATGCTATTAAATGTTTTCTTCACTTCATCATATTTAATGTATTATGGTTATATAAATAAGCTATTGTGATACATCTAGATCCGGGCGTGAATTTTAGCTGAGTCTGAAATGTATAATGTTTTATGAACATCAGTAAAGTGACTTTCATCTGTACAGAACTAGTAGCAAAGAAACAGAGTAACTAAATAACTGTAAACCATAATGATTAAGTGGCACTTGGCCGGACGTTAGGATGTTCCGGTCGTAGGCTTATTATAGTCGCAGTTAGAATGGTCAGCTGCGAGCCGTGCGTTATGGACAAAAAGATGGTAGGAGAGAGTCGGAGTTCTCACTGACCGAAGACAAAATCTTGTCCGTTAGCCTGTCAAGAGTGAAAACCGAGGTAGCAGCAAAGATGTGCCAAACGTCACCTACTTACGCCCAGATTGTACCAGGTAAATCCGTGAATAATAATAAATAAAAATAAAAATTTAGTTTATCATTTCTAGCTGTGACGTTGTTTTCATCTTTCATTCGCTTGTGAACATACATCGGGCTTTTGTCAGGTTTTGTGCACACTGACACTAATGCTAATCGAAACACAACGTGGGGTGATTAGTCCAGTCGTTGAAAAACTGAGAGTGTTCATTCGGTATGTTTAAAATATTTCAGTTTCATGCCTTCGCCAATAATACTTGCACGAAACAAACCAGATACTCGATAAAAAGAAAGAGAGATCGATAGGAATTTGTCAGAACAGAAAGCCAATATTGATCCTGCGTCGGCTAAGGTCGAATAACGATGCGTCGGTAATCACGTTAAATCGAACAATTTATATGTCGACCAGAAACCGAGAGAAAATGTTGTTGGAAACAGTGTAAATAGTGTAAATGGTAACTTTTGCGGTGTAAACCAAAGCTATAACATTTATCAGCGACTTGGATAGAGTTCAGTGCAAGGTAAGCCATGTGGTTCTGTCTCTTGCTATTTGTCAAACATCATCTCGGAGTTCTTGACAAGCATTTGCTATTTCCCAAACTCCTTTCTCGAAGATGAAGGATTCCTGTTTCGTAATCCCTGAAAGCAACAACCATTCTGTTTCCAAAAGTGTGGATTCTTAGAAGTAAAACGGATATTACTGAGTCTTCCTTGGTGCTTCATGAGTCTAGTTTTGAGCTGATAGCTATGTGTCTATGGAGTGATTTATTGTTATTTTACGGATTATCAACACTTTGTGGGTTATTTAAAGCCAAAACATTTATGATTATATGAATGAGTGAAAGTGTGAATATTGCATTACCAATTTTTTGAGAATAACAATGATTTTGCCAGAGACAAATACTACTAATTAACCTATAGCAGGGGAGACAAGAGGTGGATTCATACCTTTTCCAAGGGTATCTGCACGTAAGTGAATGTAATAAATTCGACTAGAATTCGAACTCGGATCTCCGATTTCTCATTTTCATTATTCATACGCCCAATATATATATATATATATATATATATATATATATATATATATATATATTAAGACATTTTTTTTGCTTATAGATTCTTTTTTATATAAAATAATTGTCGAACTCTGTCTATTTCATAATATATATATATATATATATATATATATATATATATACATATATGAGCTGTTTTTTGCTCTTCCTGTTACTGTTCTAGAAACTATTTCGACTTCCAGGCTTTTACTTGAGTGGCGCCAGTCTTGTCCACCTCCCGCGCTTCGGGCTTCGGGCTTCGGCCAATGTTCATTGGACATCGAGAGACGAACCGAACTCGGTTCAATCAGACGTGCTTGTAATTTTATGCCGCCTGTTGTGTCCGATCCAAGATGGCGCAAAGATCAAAGTTCGCAGCTAATAAAGGAGGCTTGTGTGTCAGTAGAGACAGGTATCAAAGACGCTTGTCAATGGCTTCTCAGAATCTGTAAACAAACGGCGCCCAGATGCTGGCTTCTGCTTTACAGAGATGAGGACAGAGTGAAAGAAAGAGAACAAGGAAATCAATGGGGGTGGTTAGAGACAATGCCAAGGATTTGTCTGTGATATATTAAATGCAAGAACTTACACATTCTTGGCTTTTACTCCATAACACGGTAACAGTTCTACAAAAGAAAAATATGTGTTTTTACAGACACATGTGTTTATGCATTATCACAGTCTATTGCATGATTGATTCCACTGAATATAACTTAATGTAAATTGTATAAGTAATTTAATTAAAATATAATGTGTTATACGATTAGAGTGAAGAAAAAGTAAGCAAACTTCTTATACCAAAATATTTTTCTTTCAGGATATAGAAATGGAGATAATTTTGATTTAACTCCTGTTTTGCAATCGTTAAAAAATCCAATGAAAAATCAAAGGAAATAGATTTGAACGTCTGACATTATTAAAGAATCATTTTTTAAAGAATAATTTTTGAAAGAATAATTATTGAAAGAATATTTTTTTACAAAATAATTGATTGAATTCAGCCAATTATTGAAATTAAACAAATTATTGATCTTATTCTATCTTAATTGGATCGATTACTAAACGTGAATTTATTTATTCTTAACTGGCTAAAGCTTGATCATTTCACCTATGGATTCATGAAGCCGATATCTATCTATCTATCTATCTATCTATCTCTCTCTCTCTCTCTCTCTCTCTATATATATATATATATATATATATATATATATATATATATATATTTAAAGATATTTTTGTAGGTACAAAATTTAATGATCGAAATAAAGTATAAAACTTTGATATTACGAGACATATTAAAAAAGCGAACGGATTTAAAAACAAGAAAAATGTACAAAAAGAAGTTGTGAAAAAGGAATAAAAAAAATTCTTTTATTGTACATTTTTCTGTGTTGAATTTAAGTTGTTGAAAAGGGAAGAGCGGGAAAACCGGTCCTTTTGTTTTAATATGTCTCGTAATATTAAGTTTTATACTTTTTATTTCGACATATATATATATATATATATATATATATATATATATATATATATATATGGGGTGTAAAAATCGGAATTTGGATATAACTAAAGAAATATCTGTGGAATGTGCAATATGTATAAAGACAAAAGGAAAACATCAGTTTACCATTTTCTCCTCTGGAAAAAGTAAGAATGTTTTTTTTTTTTGCTACAATTATTTATGAACAGAAGCCAAACTGTCGTTAGGTTTATGTATTTTCATAGACAGTCGTGTTTATTCATTATCAGATTTTTTTTACCATGTATTCTGTAAATAAATATTAGTTGCAAAATAAAAATCCTTACTTTTGACTTCCGAGGGCAAAATGCGTCGACTAAGATAAGTTTTCATTTTGTCTTTATATATATATATATATATATATATATATATATATATATATGTATGTATGAATGGTAATACTCGTTTTGAAAAACCTCGGTTGGCTCAACTTGTAATATAACAAATTGATATTCGAGGAAAAATTGGCAATAAAAAAAGAAAGAACCAAGAACATAACACTGTACGAATCCTCACGTCAAGTGCTTAAGCTCACTCAAATCCAAAGAAAAAAAAAACAAAACGAGTAAAAGACTAAACGTAAAGTCCTCAATACACTAAGTAGAACAAAAACTAAAATATTTTAGTTCATATATATATATATATTAGGTTGGTGCAAAATAATGACGTAATAATGTCGTTTTTTGACGTATTTTAACGTCAAAAACGACATTATTACGTCATTATTTTGCACCAACCTAATATATATATATATATATATATATATATATATATATATATATATATCATGCAATAGGAATTAAGATTACATTAGGTTAATGATTATTTTCACCTTGTAAATTAAAATAAAATTTACAAGGATTTTTCAAACCAGTTTATGGATGATAAAGTATTGAAATAAAAATAAAGATTTTTATTTCAATTTACAAGGTGTAAATGAACATTAACCAAATGTAATCTTAATTCCTATTGTTTGAAATATTTTGCTCTGTTTATGACATGTGTCAATATTTAATATGTAATATTTTATATTCTACTGAGAGTATTTACTAAGATTATAGACCAACGGATTATATATATATATATATATATATATAGAGAGAGAGAGAGAGAGAGTGAGAGAGTATGTATCTCGCAGAATGTGGTGTCTGTAAAAATTCACATATAAATAAAATATATCTCTAAAGATAATATTAAAAACACGAAAAGGGAAACCAACGAGTTTAGTTTCTTGTGGAACTTCATCTTTTTTTTATTAATTAATCATTCTTTTTAGTGAATACTCACGTATGAAAAAGACGACCTGTTTTTGTTTTATTTTAAACACTGTGTATTTTGTCTATCGGCCTGCGCACATGAAAATAAAAAAAAACAGCTCGTCTATTTCGAACACGTGTATCCACTAAAAATAACTTTCGAAGTAATAAAAATATCGGATTAAAAATAAATATATATATTCTAACTTAAAGATCAAATTCTTGCATCAACGAAGCTTAGATATGACATAGGAATATATCTTTTGCAGGCAAAGGTCAAAGATTATTTGAGTTTTGGATTGCGTATGTCAACGGGTCCAAATTGTTTATAAATACCTGCTTGTGGTGATATTTTTGCTTTCATCTATATATTGCGAGATATAATTCAGTTTTTGCATACAAATTCGCGTAAAAATTGTTATGTAAGTAAAAAGTAATAAACAATTTTATTTTCAAAATTTCATGTTTTCATTGATTTTCAGGATCATATATGACTGATTATTTCTCTCATACGATTACTTTTATTTTAGACATATAGAAACCCTGAAAGGGATCAGTATTTACGATAATATATAGATACGTGGATTGAAAAGAGAAAGAGAGAGAGAGAGAGAGAGAGAGAGAGAGAGGGGACGAACATAAATGTAACAAATACGTATATTATCATCACTAAATTTGAATATAGAAAAGTATCGTCTTACATAGCTAATCGTCGTTACACATGGTATATATATATATATATATATATATATATATATACATATATATATATATATATATATATATATGTATGTATATATATATATTTATTAAAGACATTTTTATGTTTAACGTTATTTATAGATACAAGTATTTAAGCAAATGCTCTGTTTATGATAAACAGTATTAAATAACATTTACTGGCCTGAATGTCCGAGAAATTTTCATAGAAAATATTCGTTCTTTGACAGGATTCTTTGACAGGATTCGAACCTGTTCAACGTTAAACATAAAAATGTCTTTTATAAATAAAATTGTCGGACCTTGTCCATTTCTTAATATATGACGTCATTTGTTTACATTTGATACGCCAGAGCAGTTATGAATGTACGAGATTCATGGAAGATTGAAGTTTATAAACAGTAAATCTTGACCTTGTCTACCGTAAGGTTCTTTTTGTATGAGACGGTTCCGTATAGGACGCAGGTTCGAATCCTGTCAAAGAACGAATATTTTCTATGAAAATTTCCTCGGACATTCAGGCCGGTAAATGTTATTTAACACTGTTTATCATAAACAGAGCATTTGCTTAAATACTTGTATCTATAAATAACAACGTTAAATATAAAAATGTCTTTAATAAATAAATTGCCGGACTGTGTCCATTTCTTATATATATATATATATATATAGTAATCCCTCACTTAAGGTTACTTTCCAACAACGAGCTGTTTGCTTAGTGAAATTGTTCCTGAACGTTATTTCGATATTTCTTACACACACACACATATATATATATATATATATATATATATATATATATATATATATATATATATATATATATATATATATATATGGTGGGGCATCTGTCTGTGGTTTTCCGGCTCTTTCACATGGGATCGACCTCTCCAATTCGATAATATCAGAGTTTTCCTTCCTGCCAAATCGCCCATGGTGAGATTCGAACCCGGTTCTTATGGTCAGAAGCGAACGTTCTAACAACCCGATCCCGTGCTCACTTTGACCCAAGCCTTGTGAGTGAATCGGGTAGGCGGAACCCTTGACGGCCTCGATAGCTGTGCTAGCACAAAGTCATAAATCATGGTGGCCAAGGGGTCGAGCGTGCTGGCCTTCTTGAATAAACATAAATGCGCCTGAGTAAGCCTCCGCAATAGGGATTGGCTAGCCGTCCTAGTAGACGAGTTTCCTTGAATACGAGTGGCCATATATATATATATATATATGTGTGTGTGTGTGTGTGTGTGTGTGTGTGTGTGAATTAAATAATTAAGAAAGAGACAACCTTAAGGTTCCATGACTATATTTTATTTCCCCTGAAAATATATTTTCCTGGTTTATCAGGCAACATCCTTAGTTACCCATATATATATATATATATATATATATATATATATATATATATATATATATATATATATATATATATATAAGAATGGAACCAATAAATCATTTTATGACATTAACATTTTCTCCATAAATTTAATGTAAATTTGCAACAACTTATATGCAAACTTAAAAAAAAATTCAATAAAAATATTTAATAATTAATTGAGATGGTGCAGTTTGCTATGTAATTAAAAATCTTTTAAAAAATTGATACAATTCTTAATCTTTTATTTTTTTATTTTTCATCTATCCCTATTAATTAAGCCTCCCCCCAGATTATAAATTTAAAAATGATTTTTTTTTGTTAAAATTTTAATAAATAACCTCTTTTGTCATCTGTCATTTATGTATTTTTATAGACACTCGTGTTTATGTGAGGTCAATTTACAAAGAAGAAACAGAGAAAACTAGACTCCCTTCTATAATCTTTTATAAATTCTAATATTTTTTATACATTCCCGATCTAAAGTGCTTAATCTGTATTGATATGAAAACACAATTTTGAAAAGATAATTATTTCCATTTGCAATCCCAATTGTACAACACCACTATCTTTCTATTTTTACTTACTAACCGTAATAAGATACAAAATCATGATTGTCTAAATATCCGTAATGAAGAATGTTCATACATCCACCCATATTCGAATATAACAATTCAATTTTTGGAACAAGTGACAACAGAAGTTGTTTATAGAAATAATTACACTATGTTTTATTTTTTTCTTTGCAGGGGTTTGCATTGCCCGATCCTTAAAAATTCCGCGCAGCGTAACAGAAGAGAAATTCGACACTTTGGCTAAGGACCTTTTGAGCGTAGCCAACTCACGAGTGGTTGTGATGTTTGTGAATGAAGACAATAGCCGCGGGATATTACGAGCCCTCAAGAAGAGTAACCGCACTTCGGAGTTGTCGTTCTTGGCAAGTGACAGCTGGGGAGCCAAAGTACACCCAGTGTTTGAACAGGAAGTGGCGGCTGAGAGCGCAGTCACCATTTTGCCAAAACGGAAAAAAATCAAAGGTTCAAATATTTCACATTGGATCCTTCTTCTGTCACAATTTTGATCGGTTTCTACACTTTTTTTTTTAATTGATTGTCGTTATAAATTTTTATATATTTTTTATTTATTTTACATTGACTGTTCATATATATATAATTCAGTTCATATATATATAATTCAGTTCAATATGACAAATACGATGTCCATCGTATTTGTCATATTGAACTGAATTGTATTTTAATGAATATTGTCTTGAAAAAGGTTTATTAAACCGAAACGTCAGACGTCGACATTTCATTCATTTTAAACAACATTTAAGGATTTTTGTTTGTTTTTTCAAAATTTTTCTTCATATATATATATATATATATATATATATATTGTAATATATTTTAATAAAAGATTATAATAAAAACATTTCTAAATCGCAATACAAAAGCTTTCATGTTTCAATACTATGTTTGTACTTCTTCAGACGGTGATAAGTAACAGACCAGTTAATTACCCTCGCCTGAAGAAGTACAATCATAATATTGAAACATGAAAGCTTGTATGTAGCGATTTTATGTAGAGATGTTTTTATTATGATCTCTTATAACAAAAATATAATAATATATAATATATTGATCTACTTTGTATTGAACACGTTTTAAAAATAAATGCTACGAACAGTGTAGTTTTACTCCACCTGTTCTTTCTCTCATTTTAATACACACACACACACACACACACACACACACACACACACACACACACACACACAAATATATATATATATATATATATATATATATATATATATATATTTAACTTTAAAAATCAGGAAGTGAATTAAAATACGCAACCATGGTTTTGACCTGACAGTCTCTTCAGGCGATACTTTTAAAATGACGACTTTAACGCTTTATTTAAAAAGAAAAAAAAACACATAGAACGCTACATAATTATCTTTCAAAAAAATATCAGGCTCATGATGATTAAAAGGTGGGACATTGAGTGCAATGGAAAGGAAAGGGAAAAAAGAAGGTTGAATAAAAAAAAAAAAGAATGGATAGGGACGGAAATGCAAGTTTAGTATATATATATATATATATATATATATATATATATATATATATATATATATATAATTTTCTTCTCTATTTTACCTGTTTTAGCACTGAGTATTATTGCATTATATATTCAGGAATATATCAATAAGTGTGTAGCATGTCAATAAATAAAGCTTTTGGTCCATGTGTTTAATCTATACTATTGAATTAAGGGATCTAACACGAAAAGGTATTCTGTCTAAAAAAAAATAAATAGCGTCTAAAAATTAGATAGTGACTAGAGAATACATAGTGTCTACAAAATAGGGAATAACTAAAATTAAAATTGTGAACGTATTATTATACTTAAGTTCTTATTCAATACACAAACAGGGAAAGAAAGAAGAAAAAAGGGGGGGAAAAAGAAAGAAGGAACCACCCTTTCCCTTTTAGAATGACGAAATGGTTAAATTTCACCATTTATTCAGTTAGCGAATTTTGCACCGCTGTGGCTATTACTCTCATCCATCTCACAGTTTTGGTTCATGGTGGTATTCAAAATCTTGCTCGTCCTGGATATGACGATAAACTAAATCCGTTAGCAAGCGGCAGATTAAAAGTTTTGAGGAACGTGGAACCACCACTTACTGCTGTTGTTCTCAAGTGCACCCTGACCCCCGGGGGGGGGTAGCACTTGTTAGAGCCTCAGTTATAAGCAAATAGTGAAAAAACCCAAACAAAAATCAACTGTACATTTTATAATAAAATGAGCAAAAATACAATTTTATAGCAAAATGGCAATCAGTGCACCACTAAATAATATAAAAATATATTTCTATAGTAAAATTACCAAGAATAAGTTTTATTATCTACAAAATATATATCTAAAAAAAAAAAACATACAAATTATGTACGACAAAGATGTGTCTTCTCACCAGACTTAATCAACATTTACACAGAAACAATCCTGAGAGAATTACAAGTTCGACCCGGATTCATAATTAGTGGACCCAATCTTTTCGATATTAGATATGCAGATGACATAGTGTTGATAGCAGACACAGAAAGGAAACTACAGGAACTCCTACAGAATGCAGTGAAGGAAAGCGAGAAGAAAGGACTAACCATCAATTGTAAGAAGACAGAATATATGGTTGTCATCAAAAAGGAACAACCCAAGATGCGGAGTACAAATTGAGGAAATCAAACTCAAGTTACCACAAAAATCTAAATATCTAGAAAGAGCTTTAACAGAAAACAAAAAATGTGACATCGAAATCCGAAGGAGCATTGGGATAGCGAAAAAACGCCTTACAAAAGCTAAGCAAAGTATTAAGAAACAGGAAAATTTCGTTAGAAACAAAAGAACGGGTGTTGAACTGAGTCTTCCTAATACTTTGCTTAGCTTTTGTAAGGCGTTTTTTTAAAAAGATACTTGAGGTAATAGAAATGTAGTTCTACAGTAGGATGATGAGAATACTATTGATGGACATGTGATTAATAACGACGTTTCGGGGGAAATGGAAACAAAAAGGATACTTATATTTAAGATAAGAAAGAAACAGCTGAAATTTCCAGTGTACATAATGAGGAAAAAGTCATATTTATTTGTATTTTTATGAAAAAATGCCACACAAGGCCTAAAAGGGGAATGAGGAAAAGGACGGTCTTCTTCTGTCTTAATGTTAAATTTAGCTAGCCACAAACACTGATCCAAACATATAACAATATTCCTTACATTACAACAATGCCTTCTTACTTACCATTCTTACTACATTCACCATAATACCACAATGTCTCTATGAAAGTCCTAACTAATCCCTCTATGTACAATTCATTGTCTGTGGTGGTGGAAACAAAATGACAATTTAAAAATCTAAACTCCAATGGATATTTACAAAAATGCACAAAATTATATACAATATAATGAAGAAAGAGTGCTTAGAAAGTTTGACACTCACAGGGCATATTGAAGGCAGGAGAGACAAAAGAAAGCAGCACATAAAATACCTAATGATCTTGTGTAAATACTTGGCAGAACAGGGATTAAGAGAGATAATAGAAAGACAGAATTTACCAAGAGCTGCAAAGGACAGGAAATTGTGGAGAGCTATGATCAACCACGTCCTGAAGGAACACGGCACATAGAAGAAGAAGAAGAAGAAGAAGAAGAAGAAGAACAAGAACAAGAACAAGAACAAGAACAAGAAGAAGAAGAAGAAGAAGAAGAAGAAGAAGAAGAATAGCAATAATCGTTGATAACGCTTCAGCTAAAATAAAAGAAAATATTGCCAAGAATTTAATACCTTTCGAAAGCAGACTGGAGATGAAACCAAATGAATATTCCGATTATTCGCTGTTATTCAATGACTGTTTATGCCACATTATACACCACCCTATCCAAACCCCGTTAGATTGATAATCAGTTTCACTACTCACCGGAGTAAACTGCTAAATGACATCTGATATTACAATTACATTATGATTATAAGCAACATTTGTTAATCAGATTTAACAAAGATGCTGCATCCAAACTAACCGTGTCAGGTATGTAACTTTTTGTATCTGACTCGAGAAGACCCGAGGATTTTTAAGTTTAAAAATGTTATCTTCAGCTAGAAAAAATGACTATATAATGCAATCATCAGCTTCAAAACACATGACTATATAATATTATCTTCAGCTTGAAAACACATGATTATATAATGTTATCTTCAACGAGAAAACACATAACTATATAATGTTATCTTCAGCTAGAAAATACATGACAATATAATGTTATCTTCAGCGAAACAAGCCAGTAAACACATGACTATATAATATCCTCAGCTAGAAAAACATGACTATATAATGTTATCTACAGCTAGAAAACACATGGCTATATAAAGTTATCTACAGCTAGAAAACACATGATTCATGATTATATAATGTTATCTTCAACGAGAAAACACATGACTATATAGTTATCTACAGCTAGAAAACACATAACAATATAATGTTATCTTCAGCTAGAAATCACATGACTATATAATGTTATCTTCAGATAGAAAGCACATGACTATATAATAATTCTCTATGTGGAGCGACGCGTGACCGAATGTTTAACAATGTTAGACTATTAGATCCTGGATCGAATCATTCCATGGGTGATTTATCAAAGATTTAATTCTTGAGAATATCCATCTTAGGATATGTACTCACCATGTGGCATCGTTGTCTACAACCGGTTATAATGCTTCCCCATAACTCCGACTCATAAAGTGATATACAGTGAAGATGTGCAACTGGTTAATCAAAGTCAGTGCTAGTGAAGAGAATATTTACTGTAGACCATATAGTAAACAATAAGCGCTTCAAATATTTCGATGTGCGGATCAGTTATAAAATTTTACTTTAGGAGAGGACGTTCGTTTGGTCTAATTGATAGCGTTCCGGATATGAGAAATCGGACAGCCATCGTTTAAATTCCAGTCATTCACTGACGCACCAGTACTCTGGGGAAAATGTATCAATGCATGAAATAGTAGAACTTGTATCTATAAAAATCATTATCTCCAAAAAACATGGCCAGTGCAATATTCGCTGACATAAAAAAACAGTCCCAAAATATGTGTCGATTTTAAATAACCCACAAAGGGCTGATAAGCCGTAAAAAATCAAATCAATCAATAATAGTATAGGAGATAACAGATCATAGAATAGGCTGCTTTAATAGTAGTTTTGTCGAAAGATGTTACAAAACCTAAACATCGACATAAGAACTGGAGTCATGTTTTTAAAAAGTCTCTTGAAAACGAGACTTTCATATGGCTATTTTCTAAGCGCAGCTTAGATGTGGCACAAGGCCAAAAGTATGGCGCACCCAGCAAGGATCGAACTCACTATTTAGACGTGACTGGTCTCACGAGATAAGCTTGGTAACCATTACACAACGCCGAGGTGCCCAAATCGAGACGTTCATAT